GAATTTTTTATAAAGACAAAATTAGAATTCATGTAACATATCATTAATACTTTTTATAATGATTTCATTTTGAAAAGGAAATATTTTAGGTATATTTGTTAAATAAGGTATATGCTAGCATTAATAACAAATGTTTTAAAATTTTTCTTTAATGCTCCTACTGGGAATTTTTAATTGCTATAGTTATAATTTTTCCCTCCTTTCTATGAACAAACCTCTGCTGAGAAGCATCTTAAAGGAATAAAGGTTTATTTTAGCCTATAGTTGAAGTGCTACAGTCCAACACTGTAGGAAAGATAGTGTGGTGGCAGGAGAAGGCATGGTCACAGAAGGAGGAATTTGCTGTTCAAAATCGCATCTTTTGTCAGGAAACAGACAGGTGATGGCAGGCATGCAACTTGCTTCCTTCCTTTTATCTAATTTGAGATCCCAAGGTATGACATAGTTCCACCTACGTGCAGAGAGGGTCTTGCCTTCTAGGTGAAACTTCTGCAGGACACACTTGGACATAGCCAGAGTTATGCACTCTCAGTGAATATATTCTCTTCTTCAATACATGTCAATCATTAAAACACCATTCCTTCCCTACCTAACACTCAAAAACACCAGGTTAAACCATACCACTCTACCATGGTTCCTAAACTCTCAATTTTATGTAATATGAAATTCATTTTAGTCCATCTTTAACTAGTACTGTAACTTTAACAATCTCAGTTCTGTTCAAAAGCCCCACATATCTTCTGAGACCCAAATCAATCTAACTCTGAACACATACAAAATGAAAATAAATCCATTTCTAGCATGCAATAGCACAAATTAAGAATGCCCATTCCAAAAGAGAGGAATAGGAAGACAATAAATAAAGTCAGAACCAAGACAGAAGTGAAGCCAGAGGGGCTAAGCAAAAATCCTTCAGTTCCCTGCCTGGCATCTGGGGCTTGCAAAAGAATCATATGGACTCCAAAGCACTTTGACAGTGCTTTGAGTGGCCTTGGTTCTGAGGCCAACAAAGCTTGCCTCTTTCTTGGGCTATCTCAACTCCATGCTTGAAACATTTCTTTCAAGATATTTCATGATATCTTAACATTTCCAATATCCTGGGTTCTCCATTACAATTTAGGCTTCACCTCCCCAGCTCCATGCAATGGCCTTTTAGGGTACTTGCGGTACAGGAAATTCAACCCTGCCACAGTTGCCTACCTTCATCCGCTTTCTAAAACCTTGTTGTAGGCCTATACAATTCCCTCATTCTTGTATCTTTCATAATTATCAAATTAATTCCACATAGATAAGATTGCCAAGTTTTCCTGCCAGATCAAGATATAGCTTGCCTTCCTGGGACCATACTCAGAAAGGTATCTTCAAGGCTGATCCCAAAGAAACTATTAGATATGCAATTATTTTAAACAGAAACTCCTATGGTGAAATTTTCCTTTTTATACTCTCTCCATTCAAATGAATTTTAATTTTCACAAGGTAGAGCCTCTACTAGGGGAAGCCTCAATCACACAGCACATTTTCTATTGTCTCAATGAACAGGAATAGTGTTCTCTCTTTCAGTATTGTCAAAGTCTTTAACAATTACAGCTGCCTTGTCTGCATATTAAACTCACCCTCACTCCTGTCCTTAATGAATTTTCCATTCTTCAAGCCCTTCTAATCTGTTTGATCTCTCTTAATCTAAGTCTGGATAAAAACAGGGATCAGTAACCATGCCACAGCCTGAATGTTATTCCATCTTGAAGTTTCCAACAAAACAGATTTGTTTATTATTGTTTTAATTCAGTCTGACTCAACTGCTCAGGACACAGTTCTCTTGAACCTTGATGAGATGTTCCAACACAATATACATTTCTCTGAGGATCTTGGTCTTCCAAACTCCTAAACAATTGCCCAGAAAACTCTACTTGAAGCATTCTAGGGCTTCTCTAGCCCGAAGCTACACTTTTCCACATTCCTTTCACAATCCAATTCCAGGGGCCTAAGAACCATGTGGCTAAACGTTTATTTAAACAGTGACTCCCCTGCACCTCAGTACCAAGTTTCTGTGTCAGCTGCCTGCCTTGTTTCGATGATGAAATGTTTAGGCAGAAGCAACTGAAAGGATGAAAGCTGACTTATTGGCTGACAGTTTGAGAGGATTTGGCTAGTCACATTTCGTCTGTACTTGGGAAGCATAGAATGGCCAGGAAATTGGTCTGGGCTATTAAAGTTCAAAACCTACCTCCAGTTACCCACTTCCTTCAGTGAGATACTACTTCCTAAGGGGCCCAAGTGTTTAAACACATGAGATTATGGGCTATGTTTCATTATCAAACCAACACAATTGCATATGTGACTTGTGCTGTCTTTGATTTTGAGGAGACAAGTATAGGCAATGCCAGCATAGTCTGAGTTTTGAAAGTGATGAGCCAATAACAATGCCTGAAGAATCAAGAGTGTTTCTGGGAATGGAACCTGGTGAGATCTGTGGATGAGCAGTGATTAGAATAGAAAAGGATATAAAATGTTACTGCCGAAAGATTAAATATTTCACTCAAGAAGTGAGACATAGAAGAGCCAATTTAGGAGATATCAACACATTCAGAAATAAAAAAGTGCAATATATCTTTAGGATAATAAAAAGAGAATTATCATGAAAGTCTGTACACTATTTCTACTAAGGGCTTGTACTAACAGAAGTCATGCTAATGTTCTTTTAACCCTGGGATTAGACAAGACAACTCCATTATTTTCCACAAAGAATCAGGTAAAGGCTTCTCCTGGCATGTCCTCTAAAACACCGCTCTAACTGAATAATCAGGAAGCTTTATGGAGATCAGTCCTACTAGACAGAGAGAAAGGAAATGGTGAAGAAAGATCAGTACATACAGAGGCTCACACTGTTTTGCCCTAAAGGAGTGGGTTAGTCCCAAAGCACATAGTGGTTCTACTGAGTATCCCCATTTCCTCCATCACTAGACTGAATGTTTCTTCATACCCAGGATCTTCCTTCAGCCTCCCTGGCTTCATAATTAGATGAATATCTGGAACACCCTAATGGCACACATATGTTCATATGAGTACAAAAAAGAACAAATGTGTGAATCAGTCAGCACTTAATTAATACTTGAAAATGCAAACTCTACCATTAACTTTTAAAGAGTCAGTATTCTATGGTACCATGCAGAAGAAATATAAACTTTAAACTCTCAATTACTGGACATGAGACAGTGACAACAGCAACAAAGTAGAATAGAATCTATTGAGTAACACAAATAGGCCAAGGATTTTTCTCCCTTTTATTTAAAAAAAAATGTAATCATGGTCAAATAGAGACAGTTTATTCACTTAACTTTCAGTTTCTAAGACTTTATAAATACAAGCCCTTGCAGACTGAAAAAAATAGTAAGATGGGTGATAGTTATGAGATTACAATGATGTGTGTATACATATATACATGATAATATTGGAATGGAACATATTATTTTGTATGCATACTTAACATGTTTAAGTAAAACATAAGGGGAGGTGGACATGGAATCACGAAAACGGTCTAGTTTTTCTATGCTATTTTATTTCACAAACTGCACCAGGCTGTACGTTTCCCCTCTTTGTGTTTCTGAAGGTTCTTGGAACACAGACACTCCATGCGTACAGACTGGTAATATGTGAAATGAAACAGGTAGACCTGGAATGACAGAAAGATGTCTCCCTGGGCTTATGCTGCCTTCTAAATCGTTGTATATTTATGGAGTCTCTCAGTGAGAGTATTTTCTATTTCCATTTATCCTTCTCCAAAGTTCCTAGGGATAATTCTAACTAGCATTTATTCAAGATCAATTTTGGAAGAAATAAGTTACTTACTATAAAACACAGCCTTGTGAAAAATATCTTAAGTCACTCTTTTTATATTAGCTGATTCCACATTCAGAGTTAAAGTTATTTTATACACTGCAATTAAGTTGAAATGGTGATATAGTGGTTTAATACCTTTTATGAAATTGCCATACTTCTGACATATCACATATTTTCATGCTCTGAGAAACTCTAGCACAGTAAATTATTCCAAGAATTACATTGCATCTACTTTTTCAGAGTGGAAATTTTCATCAAATTTATTTATTCATTCGATGCACATTTACTGATCAACTAGGATGTCTCCAAATGCTAAGATAAAAAGATGAATAGCAAAGCCCCTGTCTTCCTGAATTCACAGCCTCATTTCTCCTTCTCTTTCTTTCCCTCCCCCTCTCTTTCTCACACACACACACACACACACACACACACACACACACACACACACCACATACAAACATGTAAACATACACAGAATACACACATGGTATATCGAAATATAATTGGTAAAATGATGGGCACTGTGTTAGTTACAGCCCTCATAGAAACAAAGCATTAAGAGAACATTTAACATGAGGTAAATTCATTGTCAAAGAAAGCTGGAGAAGGCAGAGGGTTCAGATCAGGATATAGGACTTATAGAAAGAAAAGCAAGAAAGGAGAACTAGGGTAAGAAATAACTCAGACTGCATTGCAGACCCACAGCGTCATTAAGGACAGTGGGGATTCCTCAAACTGAGGCTACTCTCTGACTCCTAGCAGAATGAGCCTGCCTCACCCCTATATGCTCTACCAGTGGTGGAGAGAAATGTGTAGACTGTGACCTTGACTGAAATAGACCGATAATAGATCAGCGGCTGGAGCTTTTGCTTAGGCTTGGTCCTCAGACAGATGTGTGTGGCCTATTTCATGCCCGAGACACTGCACCAATGTGAGGAATTAGTCATATCTGCCTAAGCTGGGCATGAGATTTCAGTACTTAGGGGACTGAAGCAGGAGGACCATGTGTTAAAGGATACCTGTGTAAGACTCTTGTGCAGAAATAAAAACCTACTGAAAAGAGGTCTGATGTATTTTCTAAGATGCAAGATTTGTATGAAATTATGACAAGGTCACTAAGGACAAGGCATGCCAACTAAAAGTCAGAAGATAAATTGACTTACAGAGGAGGGCACGTGCCGGTTACAGTGCCATGTGCCGGTTACAGTGCCAAGCACCGGTTACAGTGCCACGTGCCGGTTACAGTGCCATGTGCCTGTTACAGTGCCACGTGCCGGTTACAGTGCCACGTGCCGGTTACAGTGCCATGTGCTGTTTACAGTGCCACGTGCCGGTTACAGTGCCAGCAGCACATTTGCAACTGGATTTTAGTGCAGTCTTCAGTAGAACAGAGCAGAAGTGGTAAACGGTGAGACTAGTGAGGTTGGGCAGAGGTGAAATATGGGAGAGATTGGTGTCCTGGTTATGCCTAGGGTAATAGGGAGCTGCTGAAGGGATTTAATGAAGGGCCAAATTATATGTGGGCCTCACAAAATATCTAAGGGAGCTTCTGAGGAAGGAAGACAGGAAAAGTGAAGCCAAGAGCCTATTCAAATTGTTTTCCATAAGGTACAGACCAGTCGAGTATCAGTCATAGATGTGGAGAAGAAACTAGAATGTAGTGTGGAGCATGGAGCATGTAGTAGTATGCAGTCATTGTACATAGTTGTAAAAGAGAGGCTAAGGATGTATTCAGAAAGTAAACTAAAGCATGATTGTGGACTATAAAATAATCAGGAAAATTCAAGAGTGACTTGTACTAGGCTGTTGGTAGTTCAACAAACCAAAACTAAAAAAGAAACGAGATTAGAATTAAAATTGGGTACAGTATAAGAAGACCATGACCCAGGTCCAAAACTTTTAGAAATATCACTTTTTCTTAAGGTGGCAACCAAGGAAGAAGTCCATGTAAATATAAGAGACCTGGTTATGGGATGCTTCAGGCAAAGTAGAATTACAGAATGCATTATCAGGTTTCCAACATGGAGTTTGTTACCAGCCTGGCAAGATGGAGAATTAGAGTCAATGCTGCTGGCTTGTGAATACTGGAACAGCCATAATTGATAATTACATGATATGACACATACTAAAAATAAATCAATTTAAAACAAGGAGTAATAATAACTCAACACTTGTTTCTCTAAACAGTTTAAGTAGGACATGGTCCCCACACGTTCATGGGTGATGCGTCTTGTTCCCGGATGATGGTATGGTTTAAAGAAGTGTTGGAAAGCAGGAAGTTGGATCTAGTTAGAGGAAGGACATGGATTAGATGACCTGGAAAACTATGTTCTGTCCTCTGCCCCTTACATGCCCTCTGCTTCCTGGTCAATATCAGATAAGTGACTGGGCTCTGCCACTTACTTTTATCATCACAGTGTTCTGCCTCAACACAAACCTCAGCAACGGAGAAAGTCAGCCATGTAATCACATCTTTAAAACTGCACAAAAATAAAGTTTTCTTCCCTTTCAGTGTGATGAAATCATCTCTCAGTTGTGTATTACATGTTACTACTGCATGAATTTGGAGGATATTTACATCTATTTTAGTAGTAAATCTACTGTTATATTACATTGTGTTGGATTTTCTGTAAATCAATGTTCAGTAATAATGGTAGATTGAAGTAAGTCATGGTAGGAGGATTTGTTCATGGAAAATAGAAAAGGATTTTTTCTTGAGTCCTCTATCATTGTTGTCTGGACAAAAGTACCCTTAAGAACCACAGTTTCCATCCAGATAAGAGTAAAGGAAGGGTGAGGTAGCTCATTTGACATGGTGAATGTGTTTGTGAATTAGGCTTTATTCTCTTAGAAATAGCTTGAGACCAACTAAAAGATACTTACATTTGTTTATAGGTCCAAAGAAATAAGTGAATAGAAAAAAATTAGCCCCAAGCTGAAGACAGCTGATATTTTAAGGGTTTCTCATAATTAAGTCTATGGAAGAAAGCTCGGGAAAATGGTATATCCTTTCATTACAAGCATTACTTTATTTCTGGGCTAGGAAATATAACATGCAGTAGCCACATAGATCATGTGACTTATGTGAGGGGTAAATGGAGGTAAATGGTATGTGAGACTCACAGTTATTGCTAATCCTTTTAGAGGTCTCAACTAGACACTTGATGGAATTGAGTGGGATGATAGAAGATGTTGATAGGAAAATGACCCAATGGCATTGCCAAGGGTCCAACTGTGATTAGCACAATTAAAGATGCCTGAGTGTGGTTCTGGCTATCTGGGCCCAGCCACTGATGATCAGACATAGTGAGAACAGCACTATCTGAGTTTAGGGACAGAATAGCAGGGGTAGAGGGGCATTGAAAATGGACAAGTGAAAGTAATTGAATTCTAGCCCAGAATGAGCAGTGAAGGAAGAAAAGCCAGGTAAAAAGCCCCTGCTGAGAAAAAATGATATTTGAACAGGTTTCCCTGACTCACTGAAAAGGTGCAATAGGACGGTCATCTGGCTTCCAGGGTTCAGAGCAGATACGGCTACTGGACATAGTCAGAGCTGTCATTAAATAAAAGCACTATTTTGTCTAGACTGGGCTCTTTGGGGCCTCTTTTTCATGATAAGCTCTGTCATAGAATAGATTAAAATACTCAGAGAAACAACCTTAGACATAGAACTATGAGAAACTGGGGAATTGCTGAGAGTGAGGGCAATGGCCTTCTCCAAGTAACAACCCCTAATTGGTTATCCAATCTCATAATGCATATGTGCTCCTCAAAAGTCAGATATTTACCCAACAATTACTGGGAACGCTTACAGATTGATAAAGTTTCTTTGTATATAAGGCCTTGGAATGACCAGAAGCAATGACTTAATCTGTAGACACGTTTAAATTTGTAACTGCAAAATCAATTAAGTGAAAATACACACAACTGTTTTCCCTTAGTAAGCCAGTGATTCATTATTAGCTAGGATCTTGAACTCTAGTTGTCTTCCACGAGTTACTAGACTCAGGTATGTGTTTCTAGACACAGGCTGGAGAATTCAGAATCAAACACACCCACACCTTTTTTAAAGCTGAATGTTCCTTTATGCTGAAGCACAGTTGGTAGTACAGAAAGGTCAGACTCCTGGACTGACATCCATCAGACTGCAAGCATATACTATAAGACACAGGATTAGTGTTGTATGGTTTTCACAAGAGATCCCACAAGTAGACTCTACCAGCCAGCAGTATGAGTAGTCCTTCTATTATAAAGTTTCCTCTCAATCTCTCTACCTTCTTCCCTCCCTTTCTCCCTGCCCTCCCTTCCTCCCTTCTTCCTCCTCTCACTCACTCATTCACTCTCTCCTTCTTCTTTCCTTCCTCCACCCACTACACATGGGTTTGTATATGTGTACTATTTTTTGTCTCTCATGTCTGCTACTGTCTCTCCTTCATTCATACTTTCTGCTTCTTTCTCTTTGATTCCACTGAGTAAAAACATCTAATGCTTATAAATTTTCCTGACTAAATGTTTCCTTTTTTCACAGTATTGTCTTTTGACACAATGATTGAAGGAGGAGAGAATCTAGTTCTTAACTTAGTTCAAGTGCCTAGGAAGCTGTGGCCCAAAACAACTGAGCACACATATGTCACAGACAGAACAAAGGGACTTCACAGGAAGGATGAATGAGACATGTTTGCCTCTTGCCCATGAGATCAATGGTTCTTAAGCTATTTCATTTTTGAATACATATGATTCCTTGACTTCCAAGTCTCTCAGTGGTATCATACATAGTCTGTATGATATTTGATGTATGATTTGTAGACACACCTAGGTGTGTCATTTACTAGATCTCTTCATTTTCTGGTCTTTCCCTGATTCAAGCTCTGCTTCCATGGATAAATCAACTCCTCTATTGCTGTCCTAAATTTAGCACAAGGTTTGTCTGGTCCAAAGTTTATGCAATGTGAATGTTGACCACTGTTTTCCACAGTCCCTCCTTCCCACACAGGACTCCACAGAATCTGGAAGTACCCAACATAAACATTCATAGCCATTAACTCCCTTATTCAAAATGCTCGGTTTGGTAACTACCTTCACCACAAATCCAACTGCAAACTATTGTAAATTGTACATAAAAAATGGCTATATGTCGAGAAATAGCCAAAAAACAAAGCAGCATATTAACAGCAAAGCTCTAGGGTGTGCGTTCAGAGAGTGCTGACAAGAAGGTCCCAGAGAGCTGGCACACCCAGGGTGAGAGGCTCTGCTTTCCCCTGCTGCGTCTACTGCCAGCCTCACAGAACACTGCCTCTTCATTTCCCCTGTCTCCTGTGCACTAAGACTGGGCATGTGCCTAGAGTCTGAATGGCCCATTTTAAAATGAACATGGGTTCATGTGAAAGTGCATCAGGAGAAAGACACCTAAGGAGTTAGCCGTGGTTAGATAGGGATGCCAGAGACCAAAGCCCAGAGGAGGACACTTTAAAACTGTATTTCTTACAATATATAAAATGAGCTGTCGCCTCTGGAACTGGACACAGAAACTATACAAGCTGGATATATTATTTTAGACATGTTTTCCCATGCTAGCTTTTATAGTACAAGGAGTCCCCTTCTCCTTGTCTCCCCACTCCTCTGACTCACCCCCTGCAGGCTGTTTACATCAAATCCTGCAGGAGGAAGAGGGAGCCATCTCCCAATTACTCAGACTCCCCATGGGCAATTCTAGTGCAAGTTCAAACTTGCTTCTTGCTCTTCCCTTGATGAGTTTTGACAGCATGTCAGTTCTGCCCTCCTTTCAATAGCCATCAAATATTGATGGGTGGAGCAGGTGTGCTCCCTGGGGTGCAAAGAAAATGATGGTACGAACTCTGAGTCCCTTTCAAAAGCATAATTCCCTATTATGTGGACAGAAAAGTGAGTTTGTCTGTGTAGTGTCGTGTTACAGTTCTGGTGTGCAGTGACATGTACGTGCAGGTTCTGAAAAGACCCCCTGGCAACCCGTTCTGGAAGCAAACATGGTCCTGAGACCTCAGTTTAAGGCTGCTGGCTGCAATGAATTTGCTTCATTGGGAGTAGAAATTCTCTTCTAGCAGGTGTCACCTCGGTAAGCACAGCTGAGGTGTGCGTGTGTGTGTGTGTGTGTGTGTGTGTGTGTGTGTGTGTGTG